GGCGGCATTTTTTCCTGACAGGCTGGGAGGCATGCTCGGCAACTTCAACTACGAGCCTTCGGACGACCAGCAGGGCCCCGACGGCACCAAGGTGGGCAGCGTGGGCGGCCTGGCTAGGCTGTGGGCGGTGTCGACGCAAGCATGCTACCAGGTGAGGCCCAGACTCGCGCGTTGGGCAGGACGTAAGGGTTACTATTACTTGGGAGAGGGATAAGGGAAAGGGGGTGGAGAAAGTGAAGGAGAAACGGAAAGGGAAAGGAAAGGGAAAGGAAAGGGAAAGGGAAACGGAAAGGGAAAAGGAAAGAGAAAGAGAAGGAGAAGGAAAAGGAGAAGGGAAAGGAAAAGGAAAAGAAAATGAAAATGAAAAGGAGAAGGAGAAGGAGAAGGAGAAATAGAAAGAGAGTGAGAGAGAGAGAGAGAGAGAGAGAGAGAGAGAGAGAGAGAGAGAGAGAGAGAGAGAGAGAGAGAGAGAGAGAGAGAGAGAGAGGATGGGAGAAAGAAAAAGTGAGTAAGTGAGTGAGTGAGAGAGCGAATAAAAGAGGACAGAAAGCGAAAGAGTGAGGACGATATCTTTAATGCGCACAGCAACTCCCTCGCTCGTCCCTTCTATAACCTGCCCAATCTCCCTCAGGCGAACCAGGCCACCCAGGTGCTCGCCCTCGACGGAGTCACGGGCGTGGACGAGTGCCAGCGGCTGTTCCTCGGAGCCAACAGCAGTCCCTTCGTCACCTGCTTCTCGACAGTGGACCCGCGACCCTACTTCTGGCACTGCGTCAACGACCGCAACCGGCCGCTCCAACGCCAGGGCGCGAGTAAGCGGTCGTGCGACGCGGCCGAGTCGTACCGAGTGATGTGCGCGACGGAAGGACGCCCCCTGCCCGCTCTCGACGCCTGTCTCGGTGGGTTGTGGTGCGGTTGGGGGGGGGGGGGGCTCACCTCTCGAGGAATGGGAAGCTTGGAAGGGAGATAGAAGTAAATAAAATAGGTAGAGGAACTGTGTTCATTGTGACAAGCGTAGGAAAAGGTATGGAATGAAAAATGAATATCTTTCACACTGAAAGGGATGCATGTGACGCGATTCGGTTATATTCTTCATCAGAAATTCATGTATTTTTTAATGAAGATATACATCTCTTGCGCTGTGAGGATATTCATTCTCATGCATACCCTTTCCTAAATACATAGATGTAGGGAAAATCGAATAAATGCAGAACTGATTTTGAAATGTGAATAAATAAGTAAACAAACAAATAAAAATGTCGATAGATAAGTGCAAGAACTAATAAATGGCCGGGCCATAGCCAGAAGGCCCGGGCGAAGCTAGAACTTCGCAAATCGCAAAAGCAACTAATAAATAGATGAACTGATACACAGAAGGAATTAATAGTAGGTAGAATAATCAGACGAAAAATCAGGCAACATCTGTAATTTCTTGGTCTTCAGTTTAGTTAAATACTAAGAAATCCAATCCATTACACAATGCAGTACTTAAGCATTAATAAATATATTATTTTAATTATCTTCCAACGAAACATTAGCCAATTTATCAACCAATCCTTAAAGTAAATTTCTCCGCCGAATTTAAATGTACCTAATAGTGTTTCCCTGACTACTCTAAACCAACAGAAACGCATAAACTTATTCCCTGTCACCTTAAAAAAAAGAAACGGCAACTCAAAGACCATTTCCATTGAGTCTGTTGAACCTAAAAGTGAAATTAACTTTTCTCCTACAATACTTTGACGGTTATTTATGGTATGGCATACCAAGTTATCATAAATAAAAGAAGAAAAAAATTATTTTACTTTTGGTAATTATAATAGCATTGAATAAATCACACAAATATTTTTTTCTAGCCATTTCTGGCATCTCAAGACGCATCCTCATTGGCTGAAAGCAAAGATGCCATTTAGCTCCGCCCCCTTTTCCAAACATGATAGTCTGTGCGATATATTGTAATCAGCATTTCGTCGGTAGGTTTTCTTTAAAAATGTTTATAAAATGTCAGTAAAACGATGGCAATATAATTTTTAAGAATATTTTAAGAAAATATATTGATATTTACAGTAAACTTTGGTTGCAGTTTCCAATTAGGATTTTCATCAAGACATCCTCTGCCATCTAACATCGATAGAAAAGGAAACCCCATTACCACCGCCAACTTTAAATGAAACAGCAGTTCATAATCTATCTTCCTGTAAGGATGAATAAAAGAAGCCCATACATATCTATCTCCTTCTTAACTTGAACGACGGATCATAACGTCTTCCTCTCTTAACTTTAAACAGCAACGCATAAATTCTTTCTCTGTCAACTTGAGGGAAAGCAGCAACTGACATTCTCTTTGTCGGCCAAATGAAGGTCAAAGCAGCAGCTGATAATCTCTTCGTCTACCAATAGCAACTCATAAAAAAATCTCCCTAAAACAGAAACGCATAAGCTCCTTCTCTGAAATAAAAACAGCAAGCCATAAAAAATACAACAGACTAAAACAGCAACGCATAAACGTCTCTCGTCTGCAGGTCGTGGTACCAGCGAAGACCAAGATGGAAGCCAGGTATCGCAGCCAGATTCCCCGACCTGCAGCACGCCTGACGGACAAGTACCAGTCGGTTGGAGTCGGAGCTTCTGGGGCGCCAAGAACGGCTCGCTGGACGTCGGCCTCGTGGTGGAACTCGCCTCCTGCAACGAGGGGAAGGACTTCGGCCAGATGCTGAAGGAGGTGGCCAAGAGCTTCAGGAAGGCTGGATACGGTGAGTGGGACTTTGCTGCTGTCTTTCTTGTTTGATGCAGTGCTTATCACTGTTAATGAACATGACTACCGACGTGTGTACTATTCATTTTTGTTATTATCATTTTTATTTTCATATTAGCATTTTACTACTGTTGTTAATGCTGTTGTCATCGTTGTCGTTGCCATCATCATCATCACCGTCATCGTCATCGTCGTTATCATCATCATCATCATCATCATCATCATCATCATCATCATCATCATCATCATCATCATCATCATCATCATCATCATCATCACGCCTTCCCCCCGTCCCTCTGAGTCCCCCATCCTGCCCACAGAGGACGTCCGCTTCGCCCTGATGACGTACACGAGCAGCGAGTTGGGTTCTGCTTCGGCCTTCTCTTCCGAGGGCCGCGTGGCGCCGCAGCTGGAGGGCGTCGCGATGGAGGATTCGAAGGATGCGCATGGTGGCTCAGCGGCAGTCATGAAAGCGGCGAGAACCATGCAGTAGGTGTCACGCACATGGACGGGTACACGTACAGTACACTTACACGCACACGTAAATGCACGGACCCTCTCTCTCTCTCTCTCACACACACACACACACACACACACACACACACACACACACACACACACACACACACACACACACACACACACACACACACACACACACACACATCAGTACGTCAGTATAGGTATTCTCTCTTTCATTTATTGTTTCTTCCTCACCCTCTCTATCTATCTATCTATCTATATCCCTCCCTCCCTCCACACACTAACCCCCTCCCCCTTCCCCTTCCTCCAGATGGCGTCCCGGCGTGGGCCGCGTTCTGCTGCAGGCGTCGTGCCAGCTGTGCGACGACGGCGAGAGCGTGGCTGAGGCCCTGCGGGAGAACGACGTCGTGCTGCACGTCCTCTCGAGACTGACGGTGACCCTCGAGGGCCCCGAGACGGCCGAGAGCAAGACCTTGGCCTGGCGTATCTTCGGCTACGACAAGGACCTGGTCTACACGTCGTCGGGTGAGGACTGGCGTGCCCTGGGGATGCGTTTTGTTTATGTGCATCGTCTTAGTTTATTTTTAAATGTTTCACGTGTCTATATGAAACGCCCTTAATGTGGTGTATTTCTTTATTTGTGTTATACGAAGAATGTATCGTTATGATAAATAAACACATGCAGACGCACATGCACGCACCCCCCACCCACCCACACACACACTATATCCCTCAGACACACAACGCACATATAAGCATATATATCATTTTCTCTCGACATATACATTGTTATTTCTCGCCACAGACTACAGAACATTCCAAGGAGACGCCGGCCAGAGGGAGCTTCTCGAGGAACACGGGGAATCCTGCCTAGACACGGTGCAGGATGCAGGGGGAGCCGTCTTCAACAGCAACAGATGGATACCCAAGAAGGCAGTAAGTTTAATTCGTGTCAGATACCTTCATTTTCGGTTTATGGAGGTTTGCCGCGTGTGTTTTCTTTATTTTTTTTTCTTTCTCTCTTGACCAGCTTTTGATATTTAAAAAAGACAAAGAATGATTTCCGTAGAGTTTCTTAAGTAGTTTTTTCTTTATTTTCTCTCTCGCAACCTTTTTTGACTTTTATATCACAAGCGAATTCCATTTTTTTTGCTCCCAAGGTTACTGTTACTAAACCCTCCTTTTTTCTCACTTGCCTCTCACATGCATTGTCTCCCACGTCACTTAAAACCCTTTCCTCATAGTATACTTCAATCCCCCGCCCCCTTCCTTTTCTTTATCTCTCAAGTCACTCACAATCCCCACTTTCCGCCAGGGCCTGACGAGGAAGTTCCTGAGTGTCCTGAGTCAGCGTCTGGCCACCGACGTTCCCGAGCCGCGCTGTCACCAGTGTCGATGCCTCGCGGACGAAGACCAGGCCAGGCTCAGCTGCAGACGCTGTGGGGAGGAGCCGGTGAGTGCGAAGAGAGAGGGCTGGGGAGGAGTTCTTGGTGGGGAGTTTTGGGGGCTGGGTATAAGAGCTGTAGGGGCTGTGGACTGACTGTGAGATCTGTGGGTTGAGTGGGGCAAATAGCCTAGGCGTGTGTGTGTGTATAGGCTGGAACGGGACTGAGGCTGGGAGATAGAATGTATTGGGCCGTTTAGAGCGGGTAGGTTATGGGTAGTATGTGGGCAATGTGTGTAGGGGTCGTGGGCTGGGTGTGGGAGAAGGGCTGTCATCAGTTTGAAGGGGGCTGTGGCCTGGGTTGTAAGACTCAGTGAA